TCCCCAGGTGTTGACGGGCGGGCCCCTTTCCCCCCCCCCCTTTGGAATGTCGTGATGTCTAAAGTGTCTCGCTTTAGCTGCCCATCCATCTCTCTCTCGTTGACTGTAGGTTTGTTTTATTAATCCTGGAAGAGCATATATTATGACATATATATATATATAGTCCGCTTAGTCGCATCTCTTCAAGAGATTCGATGCCTTGAAAACTGCCCCAATATACTGAAAGGATATCTATGCCCGAGTTCAGAACAACTAGTTCAACGCAAACATCTTCAGTAATTGTTACACCATGTAGAGGTTTGGAGGGTTCAGCAGCTTTAATATTCTCCTTTCTTGTTATATGTATTTCCCAAATAGATTCCCAAAACAAGAGAAAATTATATGTGTAAATAAAATACAATATACCTTTTTTTTGAAAAAATTAAATTTTATTTATCCCTTCCCTCGTAGGTGATGATCTCAAGTCATCTCGTCGGTGTTTCTCCTAAAATTGGCCTCACCTCGCGCCAACCTTCAAGTGGAGTGACGTAAGGACAATGGTGTTAAATATACAATTCAAATACAATACCTACATTTCGAAGTATAATACATTTTCAACGAAAAGTAAATATGTATATTATTCGAAATATATTTTTAGAACCATATTATAATTCTATTGAAAAATGAACGCATAAATCATTATTCAACACTATAAAGGTATTCATAAATACAAATGCAGATTTAACTAATCACAAAAGTACTTACTGTAGACGCGATAGCTGGGGTCAGGGCCATTGCCAACTATTTTATATATATATATAATATATATATATATATATATATATATATATATATATATATATATATATATATTCTCTAAATAATATTATCCTTTAATAAAATCAAAATTTATAAAAATAAAAAACGTTTATAAAATACTTTTTTAATTTCAATATTTTCTATATTACTGCACTCTGAATTTTAACTCATTTGTTGTCTATTTTTGCATATATCCTTAAGTTTTAAATATTTTCTAAAATAAATTGTAAATCGTCTTTTTTCTCAACTCTCATTTCACTATTACAATTACAATTATTTTATTTCCAAAGCGCTATATCCCGCAAGGGATACTTGCGCCAAACAAGAAGAAAAATTTATTTACATTATTCAACGCATGAAAATATTAGAGATCCAGATTTTGTAGAAAGCTTAGAATGTATTTACAAAATGAATTGAACTTTAAATATGATTTTTTATCGGAAATCGATTCGTTAAGTTCACAAACAACTAGTTTATTCTTCATTCTATAATCTGGAAATGCTGGGCAATCGATCAGTAGATGTCTTGAGGTTTGTTCCTCAATACCACAAAAGCAACTTGAATCCTCCACTTCCTTTATTCTATTTAAAAAAAACTTTTTAAATATCCGTGGTTTGTAACAAATTGAGTATTATAAAAATTTGGGCGAAAGTATTTAGGGATTTCTTGGGGAAAAAAGCTTAAGAAAGTATTATTTGCTTCGTTTTTCAGAACATTCATTCTTGATTTGATAAAGGTATCTATAATTCCTGGAATAAATGGGTCATAAATTTGTTGATCATCTGTGGATAAGCTTCTCAGATCAGATATCATGATTCTGGATTCGATAAAGTCTGAGATCAGAGGGATGTTGGCCAAACTATGAACACAGCTATATGATGTGGATTTATAGGCTTGTATACACCATGTCAGTATTTGATATTGTGTTGAATTTAATTTTTGTAAACATTTTCTATTTAAATATTCGAACCAAATTTCGGCTCCATAGGTAAGTTTTGTCTGAAAATGGATTTATATAAAGTTAGCCTTTTCTGGGTGTTAGACCCCAAGATTTCCCACAAATTGAGAAGAGATAATTTTTGATACGTTTTGTACTATATTTCACTATAGAAGAACCGTAAGGTTTGAAGTTAAGAAACACATCTCCGTTGTTTTTATAATTTTTGCTCTTTTAGTTTCTATCAATTTAAAAGTTCCGACATACTAGATAGAAAACAAATTATAAATTCAATATATTTCGAATACATGAGGCCTTTTACCTATCAAAATTCATTGTATGAAAGTCCAACTTCTACAACCACTAAATGGAGATGATCCTCAGTGGTTTAGACAATGGTAAGTTGTAGCGGTAGGGATCAAACTGGCAAAGTCTGGAATGGTGGATTCATAAATGATGAGCCAAATCTTCTCAATAATTTTAGCCTATGGTTATGTTTGAGTTGTCTTTCTTCAGGGGAATTAATATGTTTGTGACAGACAAACCTATCCTCAAAATGAATATGCTGCCATTGTGGCTCCCGTAACTCTCTTTTAGTAAATATATTGAGCCATTCTAGTAATGCCTATGACGCTAACAGAGGTGAGAATAAATCTTGAAATATATTGCACAATCTAATTTTACCGATTTCAGCTCTCTTACCTTGAATTTTGATTATTTCCTAAACGACCCATTTTTCATAGGTCTTTTTTTAAGGTAGTGTACTATCAAAGTATTAAGTAGTGTACTATCAAAATATGATATTATTGATTATTAAATCTCTAAGTACCTTTTTGCCATGAATCGAAAAGACAATTTCAGTGTATATATTTGTATAATTCTATTCATATAGAAGACACCAGATAGAGATGTGACAAGGATACGAAAAAAACAAAGGATCCAATGCTACAGTAGATTTTAATCATATATATTTATGGTTGAATGCTCAATATTTTTAGATTCTATAAACCTAGATGACATTGTAGAATGGTGAGGGGGGGGGGGGGGTAGTTGTATTGTAAATGAAGAGACATTTATGAAGATGCTAAAAGTAATATACTTTTATATTTTCCTAAAAAGAATTGTTCTATTTACATTTAAAATTTACTAAAATTATAACACTTTGTACACATTGACAAAAATAACCCAAACTGGATTACTCATTTTGTGTTAACATAAGTAAATTGATTTATATTTTCCTATATACGACATGTCTTCAACCTTCTGACCTTTGTTATCCAAGATAGGTGATCCCCAAGTTAGACCTTTGGCGTCAAAATCGCCGAGTATGATTGTGATATCCGAAGATGCTTCACTTAATGTCTCTATCCGGCTTGTATTGATGCTAGTATTATCGGGGTGATAATCATTTATGATTGATATTGTTTTAACTGGGAGGTAGATTTCTATTGCCTGAGCTTCTGTCGTGCTTTCTGTAGGCTTTCTCTGATTATAGGCGATTTCCTTAAATTTGATTTCTCGAGTTTTTATCAAAACGGCAAGTCCTCCTTCCAATTTTCCCGATCTGTACTTTCGTAGTGTTGTATAACCTTTGATATTATATCTCAGATTATGATTCAGTTTTGTCTCCTGAAGACAAGCAATATTCACATTGTTGTCACGGATAGGATAAGTCAGCTCTTCAGTTTTCCTCTGGGTGCCATTAATTTATTGAGCTGTAGTAAATTGAATTGTGTCCTCGTAGTATATTTCTCATCAAGAGCCCGGGCTGCAGCTCCTGACGTGGCGGTTACCTCGGACATTGCTGGAGATATCGTTTTTTTTTCTTCATTTGTAGCTTTACACACCCAAGATAGAGAACATTGCGACTGCTGTGATAGATATGTATGGGGACATCTGAGGCTCTTCATTGGTCAGGACAACAACAACATATTTACGACATGATTTCGGTATTGAAAAGGTTTCTCTAACAAAGTAATTATTTATTTTGAATGTCTGAAATATATGTTTTTCACTTTATATAATAAAATACTTAATCAAATACTCCTCTCGAAAAGTTTCTTCACAAATTTAGTAGTATTCGCAAAACTTTTCCGAAGTACTTGATTAAATATTTAAAATAGTTTCTGCAATTTTCAAGCTAGATGGAATGTAATTTTATATACGATATGCTCAAAACTTTCAGCTCGCCAGATATTAAGATTTCCAATATTCAGTTTGCTAAGCTAGCAAGGACCTTTAACAATCAATATAGGACTTTAGAAAATGGAATTCCTTGATAACAAACAAAAAACAACAACATTGTTTTATAGAGTATATAATTCTTGAACCTGAAAAACAAGAGTGGTAACTTCATGCAATATGAAGCATAAAAGACTTTATGGAGGTAACTCTTCTTTTTATTAAAGGATATATAAGAACATATCCAAGTTATTATATATTTTTATATATTATTATTAAAATCGCATATAAAACAAACTTTAATAAAATAATTTAAATCGCCTCAAATATCTCATACTTCAGAAGGTTGTCTTCAGCTGGTATTGCTCTGATCCTTCACAATTACGATCAACTATTTCAAAAGAAAGATATACCTTTGTACTATATAATGTGTATTTCGGTTATCAATCTTAAATATTCAAATTAGATTCCAGAATATTTAGTTCTTTCAAAATAACAATTTTCCAAAACCAAAATTATATGGAGAGGACAATTTTAAGATTTTATTTAATCACTCTATATAAATATATATATATATATATATGTCTGAAAATAGGCCTTAACTAGAAGAGAGGAGGCAGTATGCTTCAAACAAATCATCAATATAAAATCGAACCTGTAGTAAAAACTTCAATTATAAGAGACTGAAGTATAAATCACATATGACGGGATTAAACCATAAACGGTTCAACTTACAAATGAAGAGAGCTCATCAACAATTATTAAAAGGAATGTCAGCATTCATCGATTCTCAGTGATGCATTATTAATGGAGAAGATTTTGGATGGAGGGTCTAAATCTCATTACATCCTCTGCTGGGAGTCCCTTCCCCGACATATTACTTCTCTCGGAACAGTCACCTTTTTATTGTGATCAAGTGTGTTGAAGTCTGTTGTATATGTATTTTAAGAACGACACGTTTGACAAGTTTTACCGCAAATGTTTCTTTTGAACGAAAAATCGTAATTTATTTAAAGAGAAATAACGACTATTTCTATCCTTAGGGATGAATTGTGAAGAGTAATGATGAACGGAAAAATAAATGTGTCCAGGGATGGGAAACGAACCCACAGTGTTTTGTTTACAGGTAAGATGCCATGTCCTCTAGGCTATCCTGGACATCCCATTCCCATCCCTGAACACTTTTATTTTTCCGTTTATTACTACTCTTCGCAATTCATCCTTTCATACTTCATCCCTAATTATAGAAATAGTCATTATTTCTCTTTAAAATAAATTACGATTTTTCGTTCAAAAGAAACATTGCGGTAAAACTTGTCAAACAAGTCGTTCAACAACCATAAGCCGCATTATATTGTTTTACCAGGTCTATTATTATGAAACGCGAAAATGGCCGCCAGAAGGTGCTGTGCAACTTTATTTGAGCCGACGGTGGCGCTGTTGAAGGCGTTTTGTTTTTGACTCACGTGGCATCAGCACGCGTGCAGTTTTAGAAATATTCAAATCGTGGAAAATTGCTGGCGCCCGTGGAAAATGGCGATTTCCGAGCCAAAAAGTGCCCATTTGCCGGAAGTTTGTTGTTGGCCTTCAACTGGAAGAAAAGTGCCACTGAAGCCCACTGAATGCTCGAGGAAGTTTACGGCGACCACGCTCTGAGCAAATCGCAGTGTTACAGGTGGTTTGAAAAATTCCAAAGTGGCGATTTCGAACTTGATAATGAAACACGTGGAAAACCGCCCCAAAAGTTCGAGGACGCTGAACTGCATTTTTTGGATGAGGACAGTACCCAAACGCAGGAGAAACTCGCAAAACAGCTCCAGGTGTTTCAAGGTGCTGTTTCCCCACGTTTAAACAGCCTCGGAATGATCCAAAAGCTTTCCATATGGGTCCCCCACGAGTTGAGCGAAAGGCAACAAGAACGGCGTCTGGTAACCTGCGAAGGGCTGCTCGCCAGGCATGAAAAGAAGTCATTTTTGCACCAAATCGTAACTTCTGATGAGAAATGGATTCACTTCAGCAATCCTACGCGCCAAAAGTCGTGGGGCCTGCCCGGCCAATCTCCAAAACAGACGCCTAGGAACAATCGCTTCGGAAAAAAGGCAATGCCTTGCGTATGGTGGGACCAGACCGGCGTAGTATATTTCGAGCTCCTGAAACCTGGCGAAACGGTCAATACTAGTCGCTACGAACAACAAATGCACAACTTGAGAGGGGCGTTGAATGAAAAAAGACCGGAATGGCGTGAAAAGCACAACAAGCTGATACTGCAGCATGACAACGCTCCAGCCCACAACGCTACGTTGGTCAAAAACACCATAAAAGACTTGGGCTGGGAACTCTTACCCCATCCGCCGTACTCACCAGACTTAGCGCTGTCGGACTACCACCTTTTCACATCTTTAGGACACGCCCTAAAAAACCAGAAATTTTCGAACTCAGACATACTCCGAAAATGGCTTGTTGACTGGTTCGACTCAGAAGGAATATAATTTTTCAGACAAAGAATTCGAAAATTGCCTGAAAGGTGGTCCGAGTGTATAGCTACTCAGGGCAATTACTTTGAATAAAAAATATTTTGTTGTATGGAATTGGTGAACTTTTGAATTCACAGAAAATTTTCGCGTTTCATACTAATTGACCTTATATATATATTTTAAGTGTAAAAACAAAAAAGGCATATCCTGACCAGGCTCACATGAGCAGTTCTAGATGGGAGAACGCCATCTAGTGGAACAAAAATAAACTAAAAGTTTATATAACTTGTTCCGTAATATTTGGCCAACCCAATTTCATGATAAATCAAGAAAAGTCAACCACGAATGCGTTTCGGGATGTTGGAACTCGTCAGCGTAGTGCAGACTGGACCACTACAGCCAACATTTTGTCCCAGAGAAATCAAGAAGTGAGTATTCAAGGCCAGATTTGCGTAAATACGTAGATTTTAAGTTTAATTAATTATTCTTACAGAGTATGTGTGTAAGATCACAAGTAAATAGGCGCTAACCATAAGAAGATAAGTTTATCCTTTTTACTATGTTATAAATTTTTCTTTGTTTACTATGTTATAAATTTTTCTTTGTTTACTATGTTATAAATTTTTCTTTGTTTACTATGTTATAAATTTGTCTTTGTTTACTATGTTATAAATTTTTCTTTGTTTACTATGTTATAAATTTTTCTTTGTTTACTATGTTATAAATATTTCTTTGTTTACTATGTTATAAATTTTTCTTTGTTTACTATGTTATAAATTTTTCTTTGTTTACTATGTTACAAATTTTTCTTTGTTTACTATGTTATAAATTTTTCTTTGTTTACTATGTTATAAATTTTTCTTTGTTTACTATGTTATAAATTTTTCTTTGTTTACTATGTTATAAATTTTTCTTTGTTTACTATGTTATAAATATTTCTTTGTTTACTATGTTATAAATTTTTCTTTGTTTACTATGTTATAAATTTTTCTTTGTTTACTATGTTACAAATATTTCTTTGTTTACTATGTTATAAATTTTTCTTTGTTTACTATGTTATAAATGTTTCTTTGTTTACTATGTTACAAATATTTCTTTGTTTACTATGTTATAAATATTTCTTTGTTTACTATGTTACAAATTTTTCTTTGTTTACTATGTTATAAATATTTCTTTGTTTACTATGTTACAAATTTTTCTTTGTTTACTATGTTATAAATATTTCTTTGTTTACTATGTTACAAATATTTCTTTGTTTACTATGTTATAAATTTTTTTCGTTTACTATGTTACAAATTTTTCTTTGTTTACTATATTATAAGTTTCTCATTTATTTTGTTCTCCCTCTCTCTCTCTCTCTCTCTCTCTCTTGTAAACCAATAATGTTTGATTATTATTATTGGAATTAGTATCTTTAAAAGGTCTAAGCAAAGTCAACAAAGTCTTCATTATGGATATTCTTCTAATTTTTCTTGTGAGTTAACAATCTCAGATCTGAGAATCCAAGTTTATTGTAAGAAATAATCCATTTGGTCCTTGGACGTATATTTACTCTATACTCTCCCATTCTGAAGTACAAGTTTAGAAGTCTGTACACGTACATCTATTCACTACACCACACAATTGGTATATTTAAAGGTTTTACTTGTGTAATTGCATTGTTGTACATCAGTTATTTCAAATAGCCTCATAAATATAGCGCCATCTATCGCTTATATTTGTAAAGAAATATTTAAGGATAATTTGTTTTAATTATTTAAATATTTATATAATTAAAAGCTATTTAAATATAGAACTTATACTCCAAATTTTATTCATTGAAATATATAAGGTGTCTGTCTGTGGAAATAACTTTTAAATATATATATATTTGAATAGAAATGTAGCGAAAAAAAATATTTCTAATTTTCTACTTTAATTCTTACCTTTTGTATGAATTCTGACATTCACTGCATAGAATTTGGTATATTATATCTGTTTTCTCTTTTGTACCCTGATATGGGGTTCTTACAATAACGGAGTGTAAGGGAGGATATTTAAAATATGTTCTTATGTTGTGTTTTTCAAGAATTCTGCTAACAGCTGTTGTTGCGTGAGAGAAAGGTATGTGAGCTATGGATTCATACATGTTGAACTCTGTTGTTCGATTAATTATTATAATTATAGCCTTGAATATCACAGAACACAAAATAATAAGTATATATGTCTGGTGTATCTCTTCACTTTCTTACAAACTCCGCTTTTGCCCGTCCCAAGCCCGGATGAAAAAGGGGGAGCAGTAACAAACTCGCTAAATAACCTGGGCTCAGCTGGCCTGGCTGATAGTACCCTGTAAGGGCTATAAGGGATATAGGATGAGCAGCGTCCGTACTCCATGTTACGAGTGGCTGCATATGATGTCTGTTCCTCATGTCAGAGGCGGCCATTAAATATTGGAGCTGAGTCGGCCTGCCACTGAGTAGTGCTCCTAGTCTTAATGACAATATATATATATATCTTTGTATGACTTAATTTTAAATTGTGAATGTTTACTATTGCATATTAATAGTAGTTTGACATCAAGTTTCTACATAGAAGGATCGAGGATAGAAATAATAATCTCTAAAGCAATAATATTCATATATTGTTCTGTCATCTCTTATGAGGTGCCAAATGGATTTTCGGAATCCTCAAATTGGAGGTGTAACTTCATCACATATTACTCGTAATTGTAAAGATATATCCTAAAATGGGGCTTTGTTCGTGCATCGAATTTGACCAAATGAACGTTTTTTAAAAGTATTATCTACTAGCGGATGTGTACCCGGCTTCGCCCGGGTTTTATCCGAGTGAAAGTTTGCCTAACGAATATTATTGATAATAATATTCGGGAACACACAGAATATTATGATAATATAATTCGTTATGTCATATATTTATATAATATATGAAATTTATTTTTCGAGCAAACATATCCACTCTCTACTGAATAGATTTTTAAAAATATATACATGAATAAAAATATCTAGAGATATACTACATGATATTAGCCAAAAGGCCGAGAAACGATATTTTATATATAGAGATGACCTGGCTTCGTGTGTCTTCTGCTCGAGTGAATGTTTCGCTGGTAGAATTTTGTTCCTGCCAACTATTAATCATTAGCTGGCTTTACCCGTGGTCTGCTTTAGTGAATATTCCCCAAAAGAATTTTTTAATGCAATCAAGCATGATACGGAAATGTTGTCATCATCATTTCTGGCTAAAAAAATATTGTTGCTCAGTACTTGGTTAAATATAATTTTTATTGGTTAAAGTGCGACAAAAAAAAAACTCTTCCAGATTTAACTCTCTGTCCTGTTCAAATTTCGGCGAGATTAGTTACATCATGAGGGCGTGCATAGCCGACAAACATATATATATATGTTCCCGGCTTCGCCCCAAGTAAAAGTTTGCTTAACAAACATTTGTTAAAACGATTCTAGCAAACATCCAATCCCTACTGAATCTATACTTGTCTACCTTCTCGATAATTTTCTCCGGGTCCCTTGAAAAATACTCGATAAGTTGAAAAAAAATCAGTATTAATTGGTCCACTCGGTAATTTTAAGTTGAAGGAATAGTATCTTGTAACAAACGAAGATTTGTAAATAATTGTATTTAGCGAATGTACCCGGCTTCGCACAGTTTTTATCCGAGTAAAAGT